ACTTCCCAGGAACATAATGAGAGAGATGTAGCTGGGTAGTAGGTTCTCTTGCAAAGACTGGGGGAGTTTAGAGGTGTGCATGCTGATTATGAACCCAGTGGCATAATGGGGCAATCAGAAAAGGCCAGGGATGTGACTGTTCTATTCTGGTCAAATCGCATTGGGAGGGGGCAGCTAGGTGGAACAGTGGATAGAGCACTGGCCCTGGAATCAGTAGGACCTGAGTTCAAGTCCAGCCTCAGACACTTGACACTCACTAGCTGTGTGACCCTGGGCAAGTCACTTAACTCCACTGCCTAGCAAAACCAAAACAAAACAAAAACAAAAAACACATTGGGAGGCTTGTGTTAAGTTCTGGGTATCACATGATAGGAAGGATACTAGTGAACAGGAGAGTGGCCAGAGGAGGATGGTCAGTATAGGGAAAGGCCTCAAGAGCACACCAAAGGAAGATCCTAGGAAGAATACTGGGCATGAGAAGAGAGGACACAGGAAGAACAAGATCACTGTCTTCAAGTATTAGAAAGGCTGTTATATGGAGAAAGGCTGTTCTGCCTGGGCCAGCGGGGCAGAATTAGTGAGCAGCTGCAAAGAAATAGACAGGAAACATTTATTAAGTGCCTAGGGTGTGCCAGGTGCAGTGCTTAGAGACACATTTAAGCTTGATATCAGAAGAAACTTACAATTAGAGCTATCCAGAAGTGTAATGAAGTGCCTAGTTGTGAATGGCCTGTCATTGGAGGTCTTCCAACAAAGGCTGGGTGACCACTTGTCAGACTTGTCAGATAAGGGGGATTTTTGTTCCAGTGTGGTTTGGACTCCATGACCTCTGAAGACCCTTTCAACCCCAAGACTCTGTTTAATACAGGTCTTGTATCATACAGCCCTGGAATCCACTGGGGGAAAAAAAAAGAGGTGCTAAGCACAGTTGGCTTAGATTTACAGTCAACACTGATGGTATTTATTTAGCATTGCTGAATTCTGTGTACATGCTTATTTCAGTTTATGTACACTCCTTTTCATGGAAGTCCAATAGTCCTTAGCCATCTCTTTGTGTGTGTGTGTGTGTGTGTGTGTGTGTGTGTGTGTGTGTGTGTGT